GGATATGTAAAAGTGAACTCTTCCATTTAGAAGAGTTACTGGTTGTTTTACTGATTATTCAGTTGCATTTTAAGCTGTAATACTGTTTACATAAATAATAGAAGCGCTAGTTCATTCTTTTCTCCTATTGTCACTTACATGTAGGAAAGCAGATATGAAATGTTACCATATATTATTTTTATACTTTTGCAGATGTAAATACTGAAACGTGAGAAGGAATGAAGACCTGCTTAGCTGAGTAGTACAAACGCTGCAAGATGCTACATAGGCTTACGGTTTTAGGAAGAAACTCTCTAAACCTGTAGCTGCTCAGAAACAGTAATATGATACCATATCAGGATTGATGTGAAGTTTAAAACTCTTCCAAAAATGTTCTGTGGATTTTATTTTACCGTGTTTGTCGGTAAGACTTGGGATCAAAGGGATCAAAGTTTTGTAGACAGTGTTAACTGCGGTGCTTCCTAGTTTCTTGAATAAACCTCTTTTAAACCTCTTCTAAACCTTGTTAAATAGCTGTATCTCCTGAAAGATCATTCTTTATGAAATTCTGTATTTGTGAGAGATCATGCTTTTGTGTGTACGTGTGATAGTACTGATTTGCTCTGGGTGCAATTAAGACTGACAACTAGACTTAAGAAAAAATTATGTGAACTTGAAGCTTTTTTTGTGCTGCTTTAATCCTGCTTAGAGGTATCGCCAGGATTTGCAGTACTCTAACTTGATGTAAATTAAGTATTTAATTTACTTTTTAAGTTGTTATTGGATTGTATCAAGACTTTGGCAATGGTGAGTAATACCAAACTGGCTTAATCTTTACATACCTGAAGCAATTTGAAAATCTCACCATCGTCAATTGTTTTTTCTGTGTTATGATAATTCTTGAGAACCGCAATCAAGGTGTGTGCAAAATAGGTGGTGGTTTCACTGCCTAGAATAATAATTCAGTGGCTAATTGAGTAAAATGGATAATTGTTATATAGCAGTGACTATAGTAAAACATGCAAGTGTAATCAAAGAGCTTTATGGTATGGACTAGCATACGTAAGAATATTGTGCAGTAAGGTACTGCCCTTAGTCTTTTGTACATGATTCAAATTAGTGGACTGCATCTCTCTGTAGCAAAAATCTGTTTCTAAGATCTGTTTCTTTACACGTTTAAATACTGTGAGGTGTTACACCTACAGTTTTGAAAAGTATCTACTAATAGATTCAAAAAGCTGTTACGTTTTTACGTTTGTCTTTAAAATCCTGAGCTGTCATAACAGTGGCATATCTGATATAGGAAGATGGTCTATATCTTGTGCTGTCCCATCAGAACTCTTTATTGCAGTGTGATAACATGAAGATGTACATATTTGGGTGTATAGTTTGAAAGGTAATTATTTTATCAATGTGTCTCATATTCATAACTGCTCCATGCTAGAAATTGCATTGGTGGTAGCTGCAGTTTTTGCAACTGTGTTCTGTGTCACATAGATCAACCAGAAGCTAAGGACAACACTGATATTCCTTAGCTCTACCTACAGTAAGTTTAATTTTAAAAAATCGACTGCTTTTCTGAGACTTTCATACATAGTTCAGGATTAATACTCATTCTCAAAATGTAACTTCTAAGGGAAGATGTGCTCTGAGTTGCTCCTATGTGGAGAAGTTATAATTTTTAAAAAGATTTGTTTGCAAGGATAACTCAAATATCAGAAAATGAAATGCCACAATTTTGCCTGAAAAAAGTGCACGCTTAGCTTTGAGATTTTATCTGGAACAAATATGTGTTCTGTTGGCTCTTCTTATGTATGACTTACACTTCTAGCAGTTAGGAAAATGAGCAGTAATATACGAGTATGTTATCTGTTCCTTCTCTCGGCCATGGCTTTTGTCTCTTGCGTGATTTTTTTTTTTTCATAAAAACGTGTAGTGGAAACAATGGAAAGCTAGTATTTGCCAGGGCGATACTTTTTCCTAATGGCGTTGAGGAACACAGCAAAAATATTCATAGCTGCAGCTGAGAAGCTGTTAATTCAACCTATTTGTTCATATTTGGAGCAGGGAACAGTGGAAATATTAGGAAGAAATGCTTAGCAGTGAAGGAGGAGAGATTGGTCTTTGATTAAAGCACTAGTCTGAGCAAACTGTTTCCTCTAGAGCAACTCTAGGTTTTGTGCAGACAATTTTGCCTGTCTTCAAAATGAAAATGCTTTGCCCATCTTGTCATCATTCATTATAATTTTTGCTTGTTTCAGGGACTGCTTTGTGGTAGATGATCACTGCTTAGTACAATGAGCTCTCTTGCCTTAAGCATACATACACAAGAGGAATTGGACAAACTGCATTCCCTAGAACAGCGTTCATTTGGTCATCTTGAGAAATGCTTAATGTGTGGAGAGTACTGAAGAGGGCATATATTATTATCTTTCTGTAGTCAGTATTTAAGTGATGTACTTCTTCAGCAAACATCTCCCACAACTGGAAGGCTTTACAGTACTTTGGAGAAGAGTAATGGTGGTTAGGAGAATGATACTAATTTGAAATGAGAAGAATAATTTTAGCTACCAGGTGAAAAAGCAAAGTCCTGATAAAGCTTGGATAACTGAACTAAGTGGGATTTGCTGCAGGGACTTTTTTTTAATAACCATGAGCGCGATAGAAGAGGCTAAACTGTATTTTCAGATATGCTTATGAGGCTTTTACTAATTTGTCAAAAAGCAGAAATTTGCACTGAACGTTTAAAGCTTATGTAGACTTACTCGTAATGCTACGTATTTATTGATTTCTGAACAGGAATGACTTGTGAAAATTTCCTGGAAAATTTTAAAGGATTCTTTTGTAAAAAGTTCAAGTATTTTTAATATTGAAATTTGCATTGACTAGTTATAATAGTGCTTCTAGAAATATTTGCATCAGAAGTGCATGAAGAAAAAAATTGAAGCATAGAATTTGTGAAGGTTGGAGTAACTGGAGGAAACTGTATGTTTCCATTTTTTCAGGTCATATTCTACTTGTTTTCAGGCAAGTTTTTTATTAAGTCATTTCTAAATAACATAGGGGGGAGGAGGAGTGAACAAGGATTACATATTTAATTAAGCTGGGAGCTGGTGTTCAGGGGAGGAGTTTGGGGAATCTTTTACGCTATGTAAAATTGTATTTTCTGTTTAAAATAAAAAATATTTTTCAGTTAATTGATGAGTTTTAAAACTCGGTTCCTGTAAACATCTGATCTTTCACATTCCAAAATGCTTTGTGTCCATTTCTGCACAGAGGAATTAATTCAAGTGAATGCAGAAGCATGAGCAAGGCTGAAGCAAATTGACTTTGAAACTTCTGGTTTTGCTTGTGGGGAATTTTTTTCCTACCTGGTAATTTGTGCAGTCAGTCCGTATTTGATATGAAAGCCATGCTTTTACATTACTTACCTTCCTACACAAACTCAGAAAATATCATTTAAGGGAAAACCCCCAAACCTTTCAGCTTGTTTTTAATTTTTTGAGTGTTATCCACTGGCAGTGAAGGCAGTGAAATATAGTTGACCTCTTTATACAGGAACCATGTTGATAAGAATAAAAAATACAAGAAAAAACAGGTGAGGCAAGCTGGCTCTTTAAGCCCTTACATGCCAGAACAAAATTAAATTACTAATTCTGTACGGAGAAGAAAGCTGGTATTATGGTGGATGTGGGATTATTCAGCATCTGTTTAGCACATCTCTTGTCACTTACCCGAATATTATATGAATTCATTAGTTTAGGAGAGTAAAACAATTGAAAATTAAAAGTTAAAATAATGTTGTATATTGAACCAGGCCTCTAAGACTTAGAGTTCACATAGTAGTTCCACTACGTTTTGTCTCGCTAGTTTAGAGGTTGAATAGGAGGTGTGTGTTTCTGAGTTTTAATTTGCATGACACCTAATAGCCTTTTTCTTTTTCTTTTCTTTTAAGAGGGTATTTTTATCCACTTTTGTTTTGGTCAGCAGTTCCTCAGTAAATGGAAGGATTGCAGAAAGAGTGAGAGTTCTGCTGTCTTATGACTTTCTAGTATACATTGAGAGAACAAATTGCACATGTTTTTCTCCTGTTTTGCATGTGTCTTTGGAATGGTTTCCCTTCTTCCAAAAACTGAGTTATCTATTTAAAGCAAGAGATGTTCAGCTCTTTGGCAAATTATGCTCCAGCAACCCAGCTCATTTTATAATAATGAAATACTGACTATTTTGCATAATTCATTTATACTTGTTGCGTTGTTACTTTTCTGTCTCCTGTCTTTTCTGTCTCGGGAGAATTTCCTTAATTTCATATCAGAAGAAAAATAGGATAACCAAACTTGAAATGCAGAGTCTTTGAAACGAGTAAATCGATCAGGTATAGAGAGTAGAAAGAATCTGTGTTGTTTCCTCTTCTGTTTGATACTCATTATGAGAGTATAGGACTGGTTTATGTGTGGGAGGGAAAATGAGCAAGCCTTTGTTATCTCCTTGTTGGTGTAAATCCAGGAAATCTTGGTACAGAGATCCTGGAAATTTATGTTGTACGTAATTTGCCACTGACTCCTCAGTATTTGCCTACTGATCTCTTTATCTGTGTCATAGCAGGTTTTTTTAACATGCCTTGCATTATTCAGCTCTTCTTTGATCTGTAAGTAGCGTTCATAAAGAAAAAGGCGAGAAAGCTCCTTTAGCCCATCAAGTATTTGATCATAATGTTTATTTAGATTAACTGTGTTCTCATTGAATAAGGATCCTATGATAAATTATGCAATTGCTTTCTTTTTGCATGGGGCTAAATAAGATTGGCCGTACGTCTCCTTTGTGTTGCTTTGTGATGTTTACACGTGTTTTTTGTTTGGTTTTTTTTTTGGTGACCGTTTACATCTATGTGTTTAAATATTTGAATATGCTAGCCAGAAGCAGCATGTTAACCTCTTTGAGCCTAGTATTAGTAATATCGATAATATTTTTCTTTTCCTGTGAAACATGTAACAGTCATTCCTTAATGGGATCAAATTCAGCTTTGGTCGGCCGGGAGTTGAATGCTACTGCCAACATGACAGCGGAGCTGCAGTAATCCAGCTTCAGTTCCTGATTAATGAGGTTAGTAAAACGGTGGGTGTGCGTATTCCATAATTTGGAGAAGATGTACAATCTATTTTCCTCAATTTCTCATTAAGGGAGCATCAGAATACAGATAACAAAAGTGACTCTTTCCATGAGTGGCAAACAGTAACAACAATTATAAGCAGGCTAACTTTTTTAATCATACAAAATGCTTGTCTTACTGTTGGAAATAGCTTTATCTCTAGAGTATTCTGTTGCTATAAGCGAGAACCTTTTTTTCTAGGAACGTTTATTCGTATCTTTGAACATTGCAAGTTATCCCTGGAAGTAGTAAGTCAATAGTTAGTACCAGTAGTGCTAACAGTTTCAGTGGGTAGTTAATTTTATTTTTATGGAGTTACTCTTTTAAACATCAGCTCAGAAGAGGCAGGAGGCATGTTTCTGCTGGGCTGTAGAGCATAGTGCTAAGATCCCTAATTTGATTCTTAGTAATTTCAGGCGCGTTTTTCTGGGGATATGTCAGCTCAGTGATGTATGATCTCTGTATCTGATGTTATGCTGTTCTTGAGCTAGTCAGAGCTGGGTTTGTAGAAGGACTTGTAGCTCCAATTTGGTCGTAATGTTGAACCTCACTAACTTTGTCAGTATGTAGTAGATATTAGCAGTTGAGTTCATAGCTTAGTTTACTACAAATGTGTGTGTGAGGGAAATGACATGCACACACTGTAATAAGCTTCCTTTCTTCTCCGCATCTTTTCCCTCTCATGCCTCAGTATAGCACTGAACAAATGTGGTTGAACAGATACGATCGGATCAGGTATCTCAGCACTACTACTTCCAACTTATCTGTCACATCATAGCACAGACACGTGCTTATAAAGATGTCTTTATATTGTTGGTATATATGTAATATATTTCTATTTTATGTAATCTTAGGGGTATGAAAATACATTGAGTAAAATTTTCATTTTTAATAGGGAGCTCTTGTGAGTGCCTTGGCTGATGACACCTTACACCTATGGAACTTACGTCAGAAGAGACCTGCTATACTTCATTCACTCAAATTTAACCGAGAAAGGTAGGAATTGAATTATTATTGCTTTGTCCATTACCGTGGCACTATGCGCAAATATAACATTGTATTTATTAATGCATTCCAGTAAATAACTTGTTAAATAGTTGAAACTGGATTTGCATTGAGTTTAAGTTGGAGACTGATAGGGTTCTAAATTGCTTGACAGTAGAGACACCGCTGACCTAAACTTAATGACTTTACAATTCCGCTGAGTATTGTTGCTTTACTGAACATCAATGCTCTTTTTTTTTTAATTATTGTTTTTTGATGGAGAGAAAGAATACTTTTAATTTATGTGTCTGTAGAAATTTTGGAACAAAGAAAAGTATGCACCTACAAGACAACAGGGAAACAAGTACCATTTTTGGATCGGAGGTTCCCCTCCGTTCATCAGGGAAGAAAAAAAAAAACTAAATTCTGCCATTCTGCCTTGTTAGAACTCTTGTGGGTACCAGAGAAGTTTTAAAAAAAAAAAAAAAAAAAAAAAAAAAGACCAACTGATTTTGACTAAAAATTTTGCGAGTCCAATGGCAGCCTTGTAAGCAAGTTAAGGAGACGTGTTTTAGAGGAAACGAATGCAAGTTAATATCAATTTTTAGATGGTTTTTAGCTTTACAATGCTTACTTTTCAAAGTGGAAGAATACAGAAAGTGGAGTAGTTCTTTTTGTTACCGCTAATAAAACTGGATATTGCAGTAATGTATCTATTTTAATTTGAAAACTGTGAGAAACTACATGTTGGGGAGCAGGATTAGAATTTAGAGTTATCTCAAGTTGTAAATGTGGCTTGAGGGAGGAATGAAATTCAGTGGAGGAAGGCATAAACAAGAATAATTAGCTGCACATGTAGGGGTTTTTTTTGCATCCTATATTCTGCAGAAAAGGCTATGAAGGATCTGCTAGATGAACACAAGTTGAGAGTATTGTGATTGTTGGAAAAGAATATAGACGCTTACTGGGATATATTTGTGACTGGGTTTTTGCAAGTTTTTAGGAAGGAGTCCTGCTATCAGAATGGGTAAAATCTCAACTGGAATGTTATGTTTAGCTTTGAGCAACATGCTTCGAAAGGGGAGATGAGCTGCTTGGAGAGTTCAGGGGAGACTAGCAAGAGCGTTGAATAATCTGTGATCTGTACCCCTGCTGAATAGGGCAGGAAGTAATGGTCTTGGCGTAATAGGCAGCAAAAGAGATGTAAAACCTCGAAAATATAATGTTACAGAGGTACAGAGTGCTAGAACAGACTGTCTGGTAGTTTATGAAGTAACCTTGTAGTTTTAAAGAACAGGTTAAAAACAAATTTGTCACAATGACCTAGATCCAGGTTATCGTTCTTTGGGGGGCAGAGGGCTAAGCAGTTTCTGAGTCCCTTTTGGGGTTATTTCCATGATCACTATGGATAAACTTTCACGCACAAAACAGAGAAAAATTTTCAGCCCCGAGAAGTGCCGTGCCAGTGTCCCTTGCTACAGTATAAAAGAAGAGCTGAAGAGTGAAGAATGAGTTTCACATCATCTAGTGTAAGGAGGACCGTGCAGCTACGGGCGATACAGTGGTGTATCCAAACCTAACTTTATCCTCCTTCCCCCTTTCTCAGGTGACTGGGCTCTTACCTGTAGCACCTAGTTAAGTGCTGGTGTAAAATGTGGACTTGCAGCCTGAAACCACTCGTGAATATGGGCTTGTAACTATTTCCTTAAACATGAATGAATGACTGCCTCCTGCTACACTTTAAAATGGATGCGTAAGGAGGAGATTCTGATTGTGTGCGCAAGTCTGTTGAAGCTGGATAAAAGTGTGAGATCTGTGGATATCTTTGTTTAAACAGAAGAAGTTTTAGGCTATAGTTTTCCTGCAAATGTGATATTCTCGGTAGCAAAGCCATTGGCACGGAGTTGAACTCTATGTGCCCTTATCAGCAAGAGGGAAGGTGGGAAAGGAGTCTAGGTCACTCATGTCACTTTGAGTGGTCGTAGTAGTTTATAAATTTTGGGCAGAGTTCAGATTTTTCAGGCAAAGTGCTATGTCTTGCTAAAAAGTGTAGTGAGAACGCTGTAATTATCAAGAATTGTGAATGTAGAGTTTCTGTGTTATTTTTGGTGATGTATTCCGTAGTTATCACTTCTATAGACAAGGTTTATACTTGCAGTAATGAGTTACTTTTTAATCTTAAAGTAGCCATTATAATAGCTTCTAGAGGTAGAGAGGACACTTTAGAGCCCAGAATCATATGCTATAATAGCCACTTATTAAATCATGCTGGATAACTGATACCTGTGCTTTGGAATAGTGTGTTTTCTTTTGACTAATTTGTAAAATAAAGTGTGTAATCTAACTATTAGGGAATTGTTTTGATTTAGCACTTCAGAGAATTGCACAAAATCACTGGGGACTGATTCTAAATTGGTGATTTTAAATAACTAAGAGCTCTTACTGCTTTAATTACTGCTAATAGGTTTGAAGTAGATTGGTTTTGCTTGGGTCAGGTTTATGTTTTAACTACTAAGTTTATCAAGAAGAGTACTCATGAATAAAACTGGGTCTCTCAATTCACAAGTGCTAAGATGTTAGGTACCTAATTAATAAAGCCTTTTAAAAAATTTATGCTGTGGGATTAAGATTTGCTCATAAGTATAACTAACTTCTCTAACATGAATTATTAAAATATTAAATACTGAAATTGAGCCTTGTAGTAATCTGTTCTCTAATGATACTTTAATTTGCAGGCTTGTGCTTTGAAAGCAACTTCAGTGTCTTGGAAATCAGTTTGGGTAAAAGTATAAATAAATTAACAAACTGGAAAAAATGTCCCTGGAGGGAAAACAAAGCCAAATATTACTGAATGACTGTAGAACTTCTCCCATTATATCAGCATTTATGGAGTCCTGGAGCAAATAGTAAAATTTAAGATTATAAACCTGATTGGGAGCCCCTGGACGTAAGCGCGTGAACGTTGCATCAGCAGTATTTGTGTCCTGTTTAATAACAGCTGGGTTTAACGTGTGGCCCAGTTTTCTCCAGTTTTGGTTTTCCAATCTCAGAGCTTAATGGGTAAGAATTAGACCTGAGCAATAAACAATTTTGTAGCATACAATGCTAACTGAAATAATTCATGCTACCCAGATAAAAAGATTTAATTAAAAACTACTCTTGAATCATTAAAAAAATTTTCTTTAAGTGTGTGTGGGGTGAGGGGCGTTGACTCAATGAATTCTGTATTCTCATGGCACAACTTTTTATCAGCTCTGGCTAATTCTCTGATTTTACCTATCTGCAAGAGTGACTGCACGTTGTTTAAAAAAATGCAGTTTCCAGAGTTGATATTTGTTTCATCTGCTGGTAACCTGTCTTGGCTACCTTTCTTTCAGGCTTGTTTTGAACATGTGTCAATTAAGAAATCAAAAATGGACATAGCTTTTTTTTAAATGTGTGTCATGTGTTGAACATTTTGGATAGTCATTTCAAAATTAATTTTGACTATTAAATAACTTGTTAATTAATCGAGAGTGTAGTCTCTGTAGTACATGACTGGAAGATGTTGTGAGTTCTTGCTTTTCTACTCCTGAATTTTAAAGGCGGGAAGTAGTGAGAAAAATTCTTACTTTCTTTTAAAATAATTCTGTGTGTGTGTTATCCATTACAGACTTTGTTCAAAGTGGTGCAAAATGTCTTGATTAGGTAACTTACAGCTTTTCGAATTTGAGTAAAACTTATTTCTTTAAAAATAAATGCCAAGAGTCTTTGAAGAAGCTACTTTTTGTTGAATCTGTAAATGAGTATTAATAAATTGTAAATAAGAAGATGACCATTTAATGGATTCATAGGTATGGACTGCTTTTTGTACCAGTGATGGTTAGCAATTTAAAATAATTCTTTTGAACTGGTGGTGGTTGAAGTTTTTGATACATAACAAATCTGTTAGTTTAAATCACTGGCAAATGTCAGAAGCACAGTACAAAGCAAGCTAGTTTTGCAAGTTTTCTAGCCTTTTGTTCCTGTCGCATTTGTGTGGGTTTTGCAGCTGCTCCGTGTTCTTCTAGTTACCAGTGAAAGTTAGAAAAGTATTAAACCAATGTAGTACTAAGCTTGGCCACTGCTCCCTGACTGTGGGAATGAAGAAGGAGCAGTGTGTAGGGGCCAGGAAAGAG